AGCCCTCACACAGCCTGGGCAGGGGGGAAGGGGGCGACTAGAGGTGGTGGCTATCCATCTGTCCATCCATCTATACCTGCTTCTAAGAGGATGAGTCATTTATAATGAGTTTATCTGCTTCTTACCATGGGTTCTTTCCCCTAAAGATTCCTTCGTTTTCTACCCTTTCCTGGCATTTTCTTTCTGAATACAAACTCTTTCAAATGCCTCCTTTACCTCTAATTAAACACTCTGACTTAATTGACTGTGTATTAAGTTGAGGACTTGGGGCGACACTCAGGCCTGGACTCATGTTGAGATTAATATATTCATGTAGTCCAGTGTTCTGTGATACATCTGAGGGCCTCACATGTATGTTAAAAATAAAGCTAAGATTCAGGTCATTCTAATTAGACATCTTAACCCATCTCTCTGGTGCTCAGTCTTAACCCAGCTCTCCTGCTTTAATGGTAACCAAAATAGATGAATAAGTTAATCAAAGGTCTGATTAAATAGCACAGCTTGGCAGCATGGACTAGTGACTGTCAGGCTTCAGTTCAGGGAAATTCTTAGGGGAGAGGAGGAACTGAGCTGAGTTCTGAAGGCCAGGGCTTTCATGAGAAAGAGGTTTATAAGCACACTAGAGGGAATTTTTCTCCAAGTCCTCAAGCCTTAGATCTTAAGGCGGATGGCTACTCAAGAAAGCTAACTAACTCACAAAGTGCGGATACTGTGGTCTTGGAAAAAATGCAAACCGTCACCTGGCGAATCCTAACTGTAGCTTTGCAGCTTGCTTGCTATGGGATCTTAGACAAATCATTCACCCTCCCTGTGCCTGCCATCCATTCCTCCATCCATCCATCCTTCCCTCCCTCCTTCCTTATGTGCATCTACCCTTCCCTCCCTCCCTCTGCCCATCCCTCCCTCCATCCCTCCATCCATCCTTCCCTCCATCCATCCCTCCATCCCTCCATCCATCCTTCCCTCCCTCCCTCAGTTCCTCCATCCCTTCCTCCATCCCTCCATCCAGCCATCAGTCAATTCATTTATACCTCTTATTTTGTACCTCTTGTGTGTAAAGCATTGCACTTTGATCTTGCAATCATTTATTTAATTTGTATCCTCGTTTAATAGCATGACTGTGCTGATTGTGTTGTTTGTCCCTCTGGATCACTCTCCACCATGCCTCCTGCCCCAGGAGGCTGACCCATATGAACTGTACTCCTGCATTTACTTGTACTGTAGCTTCCATTGGGGTTTGGCCCAAGGGTCACCCGAGCAGATCAATTGGGCAGGAGGAGAGTGAGGTTGAGATATTTTCCCTGTTCCCGTTCTATAGGATGGCCACAGGTGGACTGTGTCCTACTCACAGTCACTGTTCCTGCCAGGTGGCTTTATGCATATGACTCCCCTCTCTGGATTCCAGTAGTTGCTGGCCTTGGTCCTTCAGGCCTTGGGGTGATAACAGGCCCCCATTCTTGCCCACCCCAGAAAACTTCATAGTTCCTTGTTCCAGTCCCTAAACTCTGCATGATGTTGTTGTTGTTGTTAGATGCCACCAAGTCAGTTTCCACTCATAGCAAGTTGATTTTGACTCATAGCTACCCCATGTAACAAAGTAGAACTGCTCCGTAGGGTTTTTTAGGCTGTCATCTTTAAGGAAGCAGATCGCCAAGTCTTTATCCTACAGAGCCTCTGTGTAGGTTTGAACTGCCAGCCTTTCCATGAGCAGCCTAGAGCTTAGCCCTTGTGCCACCTGCCTGTTGCCATTGAATCGATTCCAACTTAGAGTGACCCTATAGGACAGAGTAGAACTGCCCCATAGGTTTTCCACAGAGTGGCGTGTGGATTCGGACTGCCGACCTTTTGGTTAGCAGCTGAGCTCTTAACCACTGCACCACCAGGGCTCCCAGGGTCCCTAAAACCAAAACCCAGACCTGTTGCCGTCCAGTCGATTCTGACGCATAGCAACCCTATAGGACAATAGGACAGGATTGGACTGCCCTATAGGTTTCCGAGGAGCGCCTGGTGGATTCAAACTGCTGACCTTTTGGTTAGCAGCCATAGCTCTTAACAGGGCTCCTTAAACTCTGCATACCCTTAGGCAAGTTGTCTTTTTATTATTCAGTTTTCCTCAGATTACCCAGTTTGAATGTGCCTTCTATTTCTTCCCACACCCTGACTGATGCAGGAGGATAAGCTGGAGAGGTAACTGCCTTTTAGAGAGGAGGAAACCTGAAGCTCAGAAAGGTGGAGTAACTTGTCCAAGGAGATCTTTGAATCCAGGTGTGTCTGAGTTCAGAACCCAAGACTTTATGCTCCACTGCATCCCAGAGTCCCTCATCTTCAATGTGAAGACTTAAAGAGTCCTAGTTATCTAAATTGGAGCCCTGGTGGCAAAGTGGTTAAGAGCTCAGGCTGCTAACCAAAAGGTTGGCAGTTCAAATCCACCAGCTGCTCCTTGGAAACCCTGTGGGACAGTTCTACCCTGGCTTGTGGGGTCACTATGAGTAGGAATCGGCTCCAGGGCACACACCAACAGTTACCTAAGTACTAAGTTACTTAAGTACTAAAGCAGGTGGGGAAGGATGGAAGTTTCTGTTTGCTGAGGGTCTTTTGTTTACTTGGCACTTGAGTCCTTTAAATCTCCTTCAACCTCATAATATAGGTGGAACCTCCATTTTATAGGAAAAGAACCTGAGGCTTAGAGAGATTAAACACCTTGTGGAGGGGTTGGAGTCCAGATTTGAACTCCTGTCTCTCTTTCTCCTCCTCCATGCTGCCTGGGTACAATTACAGCAACTCAGACACACAGTTGATTTTGTTTCCCAAAATTATTTTTCTTGAGACTGACGCATGGTAAATAGTTCAGACTGTCAGTTTAGGATGTTTTTGGTTTGTTTGTTTTTCCTGGTCAAAGTCGTACTAATTTCTGCCAAGGGCTGTTGAAAAACTGAGAATGAGGAGTAGCTAAAAGGATTTTTCAAATAAACTGTGAAGACTAGAGCATAACATGGAATGGGTTTGAGAGATGGAATTGATCGTACAAGTTATCCCAAGGAATTCTTTCTCATAACTTCCCTGAGTCGGCTTCCTGAGTTCCTATTTTCCACCATCCCCAGATCATGATATGTTTAAAAATATGTAGGTTTCATTTTTCTTTATAACAGTGAAGTGTAGTAGTTGTTCATTTTAGAAACTTAAAAAGTACAGATTAGCTTAAAAAAAAAAACACTCATATACAGTTACTCCTACATCCCAAAATGATCATTATGAATAATTTGATGTCTTACTTTCTATTTCTTCTTTCTCCGCATAAAATGGGATGAATGTATGTTCATTTTACTTGATTATAATAGTAGTTATTAAACACAAGCAATTTTAAACCTTGCTTTTTTTCTTCCAGCATTATATGTATCTTAATCTACATTGCTTTTAGCCATTGCATAGTATGCTATCAAATAAAAAAGTACCATATTTTAATTAACTGTTCAATTTTTGTACATTTGGATTGCTGCCATTTAACTTTTATAACATGGTGATGAGCATCTTTGGGAATAAAACTTTGGTTTCTCATTTTTAACTTTGACTATTTTTTTTTTTTTTTAAGGTAGAGCCTTTAAAATGAAATTGAAGGACAAAGGGAAAAGACATGTTTTGAAATCTTGATAAAGTGGCCACATTTCCTATTAAAGCGTTCTCCTGCAAGTGATAAATTCTTGAAAATAAGAAGTGTCCTTGGGCTTCCAGTGAAACTCCCCTTAGAAGCTAGGATGGGGCCCTACCCATGATGAACTTCATACATGACACTGTGCACCTGACAGCTTTCATCATGCCTGGTCTTATGTACTTTTTTAACCTTTCCGTTGGCTTCCAAATGGTACCTGTGTGCAAGATGTGTGCTTTGTTGTCAACTTTACCCACCTGGGTGACATTTATGATTCTGTTATGTCTGTTGAGGATCACAGTGTCAGCACCCCATGGGTTGTTTATTCCTGTCCTTCTCTGTGTGTGTCCTGTATTGCTGTAGGATAAAGAACATTACGTAGATTATGTCCAGGTCCTGCTTATGTTTGTATCTGAGAACAAGTCTATAATCTATTAAATTACAGTTTAAAAAACTCGATCAGCCTAAGCTTTAACAATACTGTTAAGTAGTAATTTTTTTTTTAATGACATTGAAACGGAATATGATTTATACCTACCTAGGGAAGGTCCTGGGGTAACCCTGGTGGCACAGTGGTTAGTAGCTCAGGCTGCTAACCAAATTCTGCAGTTCGGATCCACCAGCCACTCCCTGGAAACTCTATGGGGCAATTCTACTCTGTCCTATAGGGTTGCTATGAGTTGGAATTGACTCAGAGGCAACGGGTTTGGTTTTTTTGGTTTTAGGGAAGATCCTTGGGTGGTACAAACACTTTGCACTCGACTAGTAGCTGAAAGGTTGGCAGTTCAAACCCGCCTAGGGACACTGCAGAAGAAAGGCCTGGCAATCTTGCTTCCATGAAGATTACAGCCAAGCAAACCCTATGGAGCAGTTCTACTCTGTAACGCATTGGGGTTGCCATGAGTCAGAATGGACTTGATGGTAATAGGTTGTTTTTTTTCGTTTGTTTTTTGTTTTTTTTTTCGGAAGACTAGGTATTGGTTGTAAAAGATATAATATGATTCAATTTTTGTATTTTATTTCATCTTTTTGCATAGTTTTATTTTCTCCATTTTGTAATAAGAAAAAAATTATTTTAAAGAGCCTGAGCTTAGTTCTTATATGTAGTTATTTCGTAAATATTATGTTTCCTTATTTATTTAGATATGCCATGTCCATCCAAAAAATTCCACATGCCAAAATGTAAATCACATGAACAACTTTTTAGTATTAACTCATTTATTCAATAAATTTCTAGTGGATACCTTTTATGTTTTAGACACTATTCATAATTTTTAAGCAACAAATTAGCGTAATGACTTTTTTTTTCTCTTTTTTTTCTCCTCCTACTCCCTCTTTGCCCTCTCCCATCTAGTCGGAAGTTTCCTGGATCCCCAACAAACACTACTCTGGGATTTATGGCCTGATGAAGCTTGTCCTGACCAAGACCCTTCCTGCCAGCCTGGAACGGGTCATAGTCCTTGACACCGATATCACCTTTGCTACCGACATTGCAGAGCTGTGGGCTGTATTTCACAAGTTCAAAGGTAATTGTAGCCCATTTTTCCTGGTATCTTTGCAGGTGTTGCCATGCCAAGAATAGTGACTGTGTTATTTTTAAAAAAAAAAAAAAAAAAAGCGAGGTCAACTCTAATGAGCTTTGATAATGAAATGGATAAAGAATTACAGTTATAGTTTCATATCAACTCTACTTCTGTTTGAAACATGTTAAAGCTGGAATTTCTTTGCTTTTCTTTAGTGAACTCTGATATCAGGAGAGATAAGGTCTAGGTTCATAAGAAGAACTGAATTTGGGATGCTTTGTAACAGAGACATACCGCATGTATATATTTTGTATGCAGGTGATTGAGTGTTGACATACCTGTGTAGAAGAAATGCATTTATTGTTGTTTTCTGTTTATCAAATGATACCTTGATTGCCTGAAAAGCCTGGGAAGTAGTGGAGATAAGTATTGTTCATAAAGTGTTTGAAAATGTTCTTAGGGCATTTTCTTTCATTAATGTTGTGATTTAACATTTTAAGGAGGTATATAGGTTTGGTTTTATGAGACATTCCTTCTAGTCTGGTTAGTTTCTCCACAGCAATTATTGTAACTCTTGTCACTGCCTCCAGGTATATGGGCGTATCTGTTGGGATATTGCGCGGCTTGAGTAAGGGTGGGACTTGAGTCAATCCCTCCTGCAAGGCTGTGACTCGGGATACACGCCACACCAATCCTGCCTCATTAACATAGAGAGGTTAGTATTTACAGCACATACAATGGAGGATAATTACATCAGATCACAAAATGAAGGACAACCACACAATACTGGCAATCATGGCCTAGCCAAGCTGACACATAACCCCTACTATCACAGGTTCCATATACCTTATTTGCATTGTCCCACTCAGTCACTGTGTGTGAGTCACAAAGATTATGGCTAGAAGGGCCAGATTAAGTAATTCTTTGCACCACAGTGGACTTAACTCTGCTGTGGGTACATGAGAGAACAGGCAGGTTAGCACAAATCTTCAGCTATTATTTTAATACCCCTCTCCCAAATGTCTTACTTAAAATTGCATTATTCTAAAATCCCTCTCTATTTTGGACTAATACAATGAGAGAGAAATCATGGCAATAAGATTATTCTTATTCGTTTCTTTTTTCTCTTCATTTTTTAAATTGCTCTCTGGCTTCTGTGGTTGAAAGTCCCTTCTGACTCTTCTCTATATCCTCTTACCCTGTGAACATGTAGTACCGCTTAGTGATTTTAAATCACAGCACTTTCAAAAATCACAAGATTTTCCAATAGGTTCTGTTTCTAATCACGGATAAAAGAGTTACATTCTTGCCCACTCTGGTATCTGTTGGCTTCCTTCTCTGGGCCTCTTAACAATTTGCTGTTGAGTCGATTCCAGTGTGACCCCATGTGTTTCAGAGTAGAGCTGTGCTCCAGAGTTTTCAATGGATGATTTTTTTAAAAAGTAGATCACCAGTCCTTTCTTCTGTGGTGCTTCTGGGTAGACTCAAACCTCCAACCTTTTAGTTAGCAGTATGGAACTTAGTTCTACTCTATAACACATGGGGTTGCCATAGCTGGAATTGACTCGACTGCAGTGGGATTGATTTTTTGACTGTGTGTCAGGCAGTGCACTGGGCTCTGAATTTAATGAGATGACTAATATAAGGGATGGTGAGAGTCATCATCTCTCCTGGAGGGGTCAGAAGAGGTAGCTGGAAAGGCATCATGGAGAAGGTGATAATCATGCTTTGTCTTGTTGGATAAGACTGGTGGGACATGTTCGGTGGATGTTCAGATTCCCCTTTGGGAATAAAGGACTTAATACTGCCACTGTTGGGAGTGCTACTTGCAGATGGCCCTCATCTATCAGCCCTCTTTGGGGATAGCCTCAGCTAAAGAGAGTCACCTTGCTCAAGGTCACGCCTCTTTCCTGGAGCACTCGGTACAATCAAATGACTGATGCATGGATCCTGTAGGATCAGCTGTGACACTCCCATGAGACTCCCTGACAGCTAGCTCAGTGTCTCCCTCTGCTCAATCCTGTAAATCTTCCCTTCCCTTCCCTTCCCTCTCTTTCCCTTCCATAGGTGTTGATTCTAAGAGTAATTCCTAATTAGCCTCTTGCATGCTAACTTCATCTCAGAGTCTGCTTCCCAAGAAACCCAACCTGCAACAAACATTTAGAGCTATAAGTCTCCCTTGGATATGTGTAATTTATCAAGATCACTGGGAACAGGTGATCAGAAATTGTCTGTAGAGTTGTAGCTAGGGAATTACCTTTATTCCATCCCAGCTAGGACTCTATAGTGTTAATGAGTGGAAGCTAGTGACAGTACTAATAGTCGGGATTTTTAAATATTCCCAATATCGTCTATGGAGGAGAAGCTACCAGAAGCTCCTGCTGCTCTCATAGCTGCCCTGAGGATTTGCATTTGAAGGGCTTTCAGGTTCAAGGCCATTCTTGGGGCTGAGCCTAGTATGGGCCAAGGTCAAGACAGGGACAAGGGAAACTTGGATGTAAGGATCTGAGTTAATGGGCTGAATTTTACTTGTCCATCCCCTCATTGGTTTATTTCTAGCATTTGTTAAGCCCCCATTGTGCAGAGGAATATGTTAGAGGCCGTTGTTACGTAAAACTGCGAATGCAGCACCTGCCTTCAAGGAGCTCACGAACAAGGCAGACATAAAATTTGTATGTATCACCAGCAAAGGGATATAAAAAGCACCTGAGGCTTTCCACGCCCAGCCTGACTTTTCTGGGAAATGCGAAGGTGCAAAGAAAAAAAAGTAAGCTCTTCTCCACACATCACACTTTTGTACAGCTTTTTGGTGATTATTTGTTTCTAAGCTGGAACTATTAGGAGCCAGGTCACAGAACAGGAAGAAAACCTTTTAGGACAGACCCATAAATGTCAGATATTCTGGTCCAGGGGGTGGGGCACCTCCCATAAAGGCAACTACAGTCAACTTCTTTCATTGTAAACACATTGAGCGGCCTGGGTGTAATTTGGCCTTTTTTATTTTTCTCTGTTTTAGAAGCTAGTTCTCTGGGGCTGTACCAGCTCTTGAGTAAGGACTGAGACCCACCCTCAGCATCTACCATTTGGAACTCTTGCATGAACTTTTTTGAAAGGCCTTCTTAGCAATGCCCTCATGTCCCCTGAGCCACAGTTTCACCCAAGCGGCAGTCTGCACCCTTACTGTGCCACTCCAGCTGCTGGTGGATTTTCAGGCCCCTCGTTCTGGGCAGAAGCCATTGATAACTAGACCTACGAGTCACTCATTCAACATACATACCAAGCTCCTACTAGTTGCCAAACAGTTTTCTGACTGTTGCAAGAATAAAACAAATCCAAACCCTCCCCCTATGAAATTTGTCTTAAGTGGGAGAGAGAGAGAGTGAACAGATAAATAAGTAAAATGTATAGTACATGAGATGGTGATTAGTGCTCTAGATAAAATTAGAGAAAGGAAGTAGGGAATGCCTCTGTGTGTGTGTGTGTGTGTGTGTGTGTGTGTGTGTAATTTTAATACTCAATTAAGGTGATAATTGAAGGTCTTACAATAAAGATGCTATTTAAGCAAAGAAAGAACAAGCCTGCAGAAATTTAGAAGAAGAGTGGAATAGTGTTCAAGCATAAGGAACAGTAAAAACCAAACCAAACCCGTTGCCATCGAGTCGATTCCGACTCATAGCGACCCTATAGGATAGAGTAGAACTGCCCTTTAGGGTTTCTGAGGAGCAGTTGGTGAATTCGAACTGCCGACCTTTGGGTTAACAGCTGAGCTCTTTCCAACTACTGCATCACCAGGGCTCCTATAAGGAACAGTAAGTGCAAAGTTTCTGAAGCAGATATGGTCTGCAGTGCTAGAGGAATAAGATGGAGGCCAGAGGAAGCAGAGTGAGCACAGAGGAGGAGCAGGACTAACAAGGTCAGATTTCGAGGGCTTTGCTGGTAGGGCAGTGTGAGGACTTTGCCTTTCCTATCAGTGATGTGTGAAGCCATTGGTGGGCTTTGAGTGACTTGATCTGGGTGGTGCAAGCAGTTAACATGCTCAGCTGCTAACTGAAAAGTTAGAGTTTGAAGTCCTCCCGGAAGCACCTCAGAAGAAAGGCCTGGAGATCTACTTCTAAAAAATCAGCTATTGAAAACCCTATGGGGCACAGTTCTGCTCTGACACACATGGGGTCATTGTGAGTCGAGGTTGACTCGACAGCACCTGCTTATGTTTTAATGGATCATTCTGTCTGCTCTTTTGAGAATAGGAGAAGGAGACAGAGAAACCATCTAGGAGACTGTTGCAGTAATGTAGGTGAGAGATGATGTTAGCTTGGACCTGTATAAAGCACTAGAGGCGGCGAGAAGTGGTCATATTTGAGTGTATTTGGAATGTCGAGCATCAGAATTTTTTGCTGATCAGGTGTGAGGAGTGAGAGAAAGAAGGGAGTCCAGGATAACTGCAAGGTGACTGAATAGACGGAGATCGTACTTGTTGAGATGCAAAAGACTGCCAGAAGAACAGGTTTGGGGCAAGACCAGGAGTTTTGAACATTTTAAATTTGAGAAGCCTAATTGGACATCAGGGCCCTGGTGGCTCAGGTTGCTAACCAAAAAGTCGACAGTTCGAATCCACCAGCTGCTCCTTGGAGACCCTAAGGGGCAGTTCTCCTCTGTTCTGTGGGGTTGCTATGAGTCAAAATCGACTCGACAGCAATGTTTTTATTTTTGTTTTTGTTTTTTTTTTAATTGGACATCAGCCTGGAGATGTTAAGGAAGGAGGCAGATATATGACTATTTGTAAAGCAAAGGAGAAGTAGCTACTGTTTCTTAAGGACTTCTTCTGGGCACTGAATAGAAGCTTTGCACATTGGAATAGCTAAATAAACTGAGCCCTAGAGAAGTAAAGTAGCTTGTCGTGCTCAAATAGCTATTGTAGAGCAGAGCTGAACCCAGAACCATTTGGCTTTAGAGCCTCTGCTCCTTCCAGTACAAGTGCTTCCTCTGCTGGCTTCAGGATGTAG